GAAGAAGAAGAAGAAGAAGAAGAAGAAGAGGAGGAGGAGGAGGAAGAAGAACTATTATGACAACACAAAGAAAACAAATATCATAACAGAGAAATTGTTAAAGATTTATTTCTGTAACTTTAAAAATTCATGTGTATGTGTGTGTGTGTGTGACTGTGTGAGTGAATGTCACATGTGCATGGGAACCCACAGGCCAAAAGACAGTATCAGATCCTTTAGAGATGGAGTTCCAGGTGGTTGTGCGCCAACTCAGGTGGATTCTGGAAACTGAACCCGGGTCCTCTGGAAGAACAGCAAGTACTTTTAACTGTTGAGACATCTTTCTAGCCTCTACAGTGAAATTTTTAGACAATCCTTAAAAGCTTTGTTTAAAAGCCAAGATCAGAGTCCTAAATTATGACCACTGGGTGTCACTTGTCTCCACTACCTTTAAACAACAATCATTTGGATATGCTGGCTATGATAATAGATGAAATGAACTAGATGTTGTAATCCTGTTTTGCTTTGAATTGTTTTACAAGAGAAAGTATCACTAAGCATCCATCAAGAACAGTTCTTAGTGTGCTGTGATCAGCAGTGTTACAACTGAAACTTAAAAAGACATATTTTTATTTCATGTGCATTGGTGTTTTGTCTGCATTTATGTCTGTATGAGAGTGTCAGATCCCCCATAACTGGAGTTACTGACAGTTGTGAGCCGCCATGTGGGTAATGAGGATTGAACCCTAGGTTTCTGGAAGAGCAGCCAGTGCTCTTAACCACCAAGCCACCTCCCTAGGCCCACAGGCTAAGCTGAGAAAAACTGTTTTTTTTCCTTTAAACAGAGTTAAGTAACTCACAATACCCCTTCCTTCCTTCCTTCCTTCCTTCCTTCCTTCCTTCCTTCCTTCCTTCCTTCCTTCCTTCCTTCCTAGAATAAATCATGTTTTTAAAGATAGTGTTCTCCTTGCATGTATTCCTGCAGGCCAGACGAGGGCACCAGATCTCATTATACACACTTGTGAGCTACCATGTACTTGCAGGGAATTGAACTCCAGACCTCTGGAAGAACAGACAGTGCTTTTAATCTATGAACCACCTCTCCAGACTCACAATACTCATTTCAAGTGGGCACATCAATGGTTTTTAGTATATTCACTGAAAATACACATGGAAGGTTGTGGTGTTGGGACTCAAGACAGAACACTGTATATAGGTGTGTGTTCTGTGTGTGTGTGTGTGTGTGTGTGTGTGTGTGTGTGTGTGTAACTAATATCATTCAACCATTCCTTCAATCTAACTTTAGTGCACTTTTATCCCACCAGAAAGAAATTTGTGCCCAGTAGCTGTTACTCTTAATTTATCCACCTAATCACCCCTCCTGCCAAACTCTAGATAGCATCTAATCTGTTGTTTTGTTTGTTTCTTAATTTTCTTTTTGAGACAGGGTCTTACTACACAGCTCTAGTTGTCCTGGAACTTACAATGTAGACCAGGCCTGCCTTGAATTCACCAAGGTCCACCTGCTTCTGCCTCCTGAGTGCTGGGATTAAAGGTGTGTGCCACCACTCCTGGCTCTACAGATTCACCTGCACTTGAAGTTTCATGTAAATGAAATAATGTACTTGTGGTCTTCTGTGGCCAGTTTCACTGATAGGAATGCTTTCAGGGGCCGTCCATGTTGTAGCATATGGCAGTATTCCATCCCTCTTAGTGGTTGTGTAATATGTTATTAGATGAGTATACATTTGTTTTACCCAGCCATTAGCCAATGGACATTTGAATTGTTTCCACTCTTTTATGAGTTGTGTTTCTCTGAACATTGATCACAAAATGTATACAAGCAGCTGTCGTCTTCCTGGTGCCACAGAAGCTGGCTCAGAAGTTGAAAAGAATCTTTGGTTTTGTCTTTAAGACCGACGTCATTGTCAACTCCATTCCCTTGGATCTTGCACTCAACAGAGGACCCCTTTCTCGGGCCTTATTGGAAAAGGCTGGACCAGGCCTCCAGGAGGAATTGAATGAAGCAGGACAAGAGATCGCTGTCACTGTGGGCACAATTCTACAAACCAGCGGCTATAATCTGAACTGCCGCCTTGTATTTCATGTGGTGTTGCCACAGTGGGAAGTCAACAACAGAGCACGGTCCCGGAAGGTACAACCCAGCTTTATATTTTTCAGGAAATGGGGTAGCTCTCTGGACTCTTCCCATAGCACACCACAGCTAGTCCCTTCCTGCCTCTTCTCTGTGACATCATCATGAGTTTGACAGGTACCATACCATGGCCATTTCTTTTCATTTGTAGATGACTTCTTGTAGGTCATAGTTAATAATGTAAGTTAGTTCTTGTGCTCAGCAATTATTGACGGTCAGGGAAGAGTTGAGGGATTACGCTACATTTATTGAGAAAAAGTAAGATGAGGGCTTGAAACTGGAAGACAGTGATAGACGGGGCAGCTGTCACTTGCCCTCTTTGCTTCATGGTGGAATGTGTCTGCACTCTCGTCAGGGAATCTCACGTTCTCTTTCTCATTTCTTCTCCTGAATTTCCCTCTTTATGCTGCTGTTAACTTCTGTTGAAAGCATAATAGAGTGGACAGTGCTCCCTGTAAAAACTGCTGAGTGCTTATTTCCTGGGGTCTTTGATTACTAAACAAGACATTTAAGGAAGTGCTTTGTGCTTTTCAGATCATGAAACACATCATCAGAGACTGTCTGAGGATGGCCGAGAAGCAGCATCTGCAATCAATTGGATTTCCAGCAATAGGAACAGGAAATCTGGGGTTTCCTAAACCTGAAATTGCTAAATTAATCATTTCAGAAGTGCTCAAATTTAGTAGCAGGAACCTGAAAACTTTACAGGAAGTTCAGGTTCTGTTGCACCCGAAAGACCACGGAAACATTAAGGTACAGACTTTGCCAACTGCAATTCAAGACCTGTGTTCTTCTAAGTCTTCTTGGTCTAATAGGATGTGTACTTCAAGTGTTTATTTGTTTGTTTGGTTTTTTGTTGTTTTTTTTTTTTTTGAGACAGGGTTTCTCTGTAGCTTTGGGGCCTGCCCTGGAAGTCTCTCTGTAGACCAGGCTGGCCTTGAACTCACAGAGATCCATTTGTCTCTGCCTCCAAGTGCTATGATTAAAGGTGTGTGCCAATACTGTCCAGTGATATGTACATTTAGAAGTAAAAGAAATTACTGTTGGAGGTTTATTATTTTCCAATTCTCTCTCTCTCTCTCTCTCTCTCTCTCTCTCTCTCTCTCTCTCTGTGTGTGTGTGTGTGTGTGTGTGTTGTTTGATGTTGGGTCGTAGGCGATGTAGTAGAGAGAAGCTCACTAAGATGCTAAGCCTTCATTTTCTGAAGGAGCAGAGGAAAAGACTGACACCCAGCTAGCTCACTCCAGTTACTGTATTCAAACATATACGAGGCCAACAGGGGCTGGGAAAGGTTCCAGTTCACAAAGTTATCTTGCTCTTGGTGCCCATGACAGCAGACAACCCACACTCAGTCCCCTTTGACTATGGCAGCCACACTCAAAAGTAAGAGCTCTAGGTCTGCCATGAGTGTCTTAGGACCAAGGGCAGCGCAGCTGCAAGCTCTCTTGTAGCACCAAGTCAGATTGTCCGGAGAGACAACATTTCTTTAAAGTTTGAACAGTCTTACAACAATTTCCTAGCCTCTACAGATTAACCCAAACATAGCAAAAGCTTTGCTGAAACATTGCTCTCAAAGCCAAACACAAAGGCTTTACTATACATTTCTCTCAAAGTCAGACACAAAGCCTTTATTACATGTGTTACTGCACGTGTGCATACAGAATTCAAAGCCCGAGCAAGAAAACTCACTCATCCAGGAGGGAGTGTAATGGCTAAAACTATGTTTGTATTTCCAGGCATTTTCAGATGAATTTGACAGAAGGAGTAACGGAAACCCTAGTGACCACAGTCCCAAGGCTGAAGACACACAAGGTTCAGTAAAGTCTTAAAGTTGACCAGTAATTTCTTGTTACTAAGTAACTGTTCAGTGACAGGTAAAGAATGATGGTGATCAAACTATGGAACTTACTAAATTATATTCCATACATGTGAGTATAAAAGACTCTGGCATATTTGTGGGGCTTGGGACAAGAAATGTAGACCAAATTATATAGTCTGTACAGTGGGATTTTTAAGTTACCTCTGAGACTGTCACCTCTAATGGGTAATGTGACATGTATTTTCCAGGAGACATATTAAGTGACAATACAAGCCAACACTTCTCTGTCAAGTGTAGTCCGAGTTCATCTTGTTTGGGGTTCACTGGAGCTTTGTTTTGCTCTGTTGCCCAGGATGGCCCCAATCTTCTAAATTCAAGCCATCCTTCTGTGCCAGCCCTGGGCCAGGGCCATAATTAAAAGACAGCCAGTACAGTGATAGGGCAGCCTGTGACCTCAGTTACTCTTGCTTCTGATGACTTGGTGCCTGATTCTGCCTTTTTTTTTCTGGGCAGGTTTTTATGGGAGTCATTCCATCTCTAATTTAGGAGTTCATGAAATGAATATTGGCCCAATTCTCTTCCAAGTGGCCACAGGGGACATCACCAAAGAAGTGGCAGATGTGATTGTCAATTCAACATCAAACACATTTAATCTCAAATCAGGTAACTTATGGAGATGGATTCTTTCTCGAGCAGTAATCAGTGTGGTAGATCCATGAAGAAATGTTTCTATAAACAAAATGGTTTTGTGGGCTTGGGCTTGTTCCTGTTAATAAATATCTTTAAAGTTATTCCAATGGGCTTCCTTACAACTGGCAACATTTTTAAAATTTTCTTCTCTGCCAGTAATGTTCAGGCATGGGTCTGCTCTATGATGGGTGTGTTGGAATACAAAGGCTGCCTTTCTGGTCAAGTTACTATCTTGATTTTCTCATGTAGGAGTGTCCAAAGCAATTTTGGAAGGTGCAGGACAAAATGTGGAGGCAGAGTGTTCTCTCTTGGGTAAGGATTGATGCTGCATCTTGGTGCCAGATTTGTAAGGGGAAGATTGACTATGGGAGAATGTGAGGAAACTGAGGTCTTTGGGCTGGGAAGATATGTATTAATGTCTTATTTTGAGACCCATTTATTAATCTTAAGATTATATATTATATGAAAAACTCCATATGAAAGAAAGTTACAAGTGACAAGAGTAAAGTTGTCTCACAGTTAAGAGATTTTTCTTTTCTTTCTCTCTCTCTCTTTTTTTTTTTTTTTGTGAAAGTGTAGCTTCGGAGCCAGCCCTGGCCCTCCCTCTGTAGACCAGGCTGGCCTGGAACTCACAGAGATCTGCCTGCCTCTGCCTCCCCAGTGCTGGGATTAAAGATTACACCACCAATGTCCAGCTCAGTTAAGAGATATTAATCACAAAATTTCACTAATTATATTATTTCAAGAGATTTTAATTCATACAATATTTCCTCATCAAATCAGACATCTTGCTTTCTCCAAAAGTAGGTTCACCATCTGATTGAGTCTGTTTATGTTTCATAGCTCAACAGAACAAGGAGTATATAGTTACTGAAGGTGGATTCTTGAAATGCAAGAGTATTATTCATGTTATTGGTGGGAATAATGTCAAGAGATCTGTTTCCTGTGTGTTAGAAGAAACTGAACAACGGAACTACTCATCCATTTGCCTACCAGCCATTGGCACAGGTTTGTAGCCACAGGCTGTCAAGGCCCAATCCCAAAGTGTCCACTTCCCCATGAATTTGCTCCTCACTGGGTGTGCTGATGACAGGGACACCTCACCTAGGAGTAGACAGTTTCCTCACTCCAAGGCATCCCAATCCTTTAGGGAACGAGTAAAGCCTGGGGTAGTTAAGTAGAAGGAGAAAAAGAGCACCTGTAGCCCCAATTACTGGAAGGACTGAAGCAGGAGGAGTGACCCGTGTCCCCACAATTGTCTACAAGTTTAGTCAAAGGCATTTACTGTAATTTTCTGCCATGGTGTTAGGCACCATTAACAGGAATAATCCAAATGGGCTCTCAGTCTACAAACCAGTTTGCCCAGGAGGTCATGTGACTTTAGCAGCTTCCATTCACTTTTGGCCACATCCATGATTAGAAATGGACATTTCACAGGTTTACTTAGCTAATGGGTTCCAGGGCTTGAGAAACAAGATCTGGAACTTGCTGAAGATGGTAGTGGATCTACTCAGCTGCTGCTTTGCATACTGCTGGGCAGCTAAAATAGTACAGAGTATGGGGAAGAAAGACATCCTGCAAGCTCCGGGTAACCAATGCACCTAGAATAGACTGTAACAAGTAGCTCACAGTTTTGGGTATCTTATTTTAAATCAGTTCCCCAGAGAGTAGCTGGGAAAATCCTGACACATGCAGAAAATCTATCAGAGGCTAGATTGTCTCTGTAAAGGCAATGTTGTTTCAAGATGTACTAGTATATGTACATGTACATATACATATGTATATGTTCGCGCGCGCGCGCGCACACACACACACACACACACACACACACACACACGGAGCATTTTATGATCTTTTAAGGACACTAGAAAATCAAGGTGGGAGGGAAGTCACCTACACTCTGTAATGGAAGGGGAGTGACACTGGGAGTCAGGGTTAGCTGAAAAGGTCAGATGTGAATGTCACAAATTAAAATGGGTTTCAGGGTCTTTACCTGGGTGTTGACATATGGACAGCATGGAACAGAAACTCCCCCCCACTGTGTCTAGGACATCAAAACTATTTGCCGACTTGATGTTAGAAAAGTTTACATTGATTAAAGTGGGGGCAGACATTTTTCTTTCCTGTGACAACTGGAATTCCTTCTTTACGTCCAAGCCTTTTGCAGGTGGACTTTAATCTTATCTTTGTGTGTGTCTGTGTGTGTGTGTGTGTGTTTAAAGGAGATGCTCAACAGGACCCAGATGCAGTTGCTAAGGCCATAATGGATGCCATTGAAGAATTTGTCCAGAAAAAAGCAGCGCGGTCCGTGCGGAAAGTGAAAGTTGTCATCTTCCAGCCCCATATTTTTAAATATTTTTATGACAACATGAAAGACAGAGAAGGCTCTATGCTGTATAAGAGCGCCTGTGAGTTGTTCGATTTTGTGAAATACATATTCATTACCTTGATGCTGATTATAATAAAAGAAAAATCAATTTTTATTTTCTCTTTAGCCTTCCTTGGCTTTCTAAAGCATGCTCCCCACAAACAGAACACCCTGCTTTTGGAGAAGAAAATAGAGCAGTTTTCCAAGTTGATCTCAGCACTTGGGATCACAGAACTTAAATGCCAGAATTTAAGAGAGATAAAAGGAAGAGGCAACAGTCAGGCTAGAGATCTACCACTGCCCTATCTTGCCTTAAATCACACCCCCAATTTTGAACTTGCTTCCAATCCTGATACCAGTGGTCCATGGCCCACACTTTTTAAAACATCCTTTTAAAAACACAAGGAATTTCTTGAATACACAGAATTATGAGACTATCACACAAGAGGGAAGCAGGTTTTGTCAAAGCATACTGGAAACAGACACGTGAGCTCTCAAATGTCTATTTTGCAGCTGAAATCCCTGCCAACTGGAGTGACATGAAGCAGAAGAATTTGCTTGCGGTCAGTCTGCAACCCAGTAATCCTGAATACAACATGGTGGCAAGCAAGTTCAACCAGACCTGCACAAACTTTATCATAGAGAATGTAAGTCAGCCGCTAATGAATTTCCAAATGGTGGAAATAAAGGATATCACAGTCCTGAATAAACCCACTCTCATATGAATCTGTAGAGGTGGCTTAGGGGTTCAAGGTTTTCTACTGCTCTCAAAAGACCCCAAGTTCCAAGTTTGGTTTCCAGACCTGCATCAGGGAGCTTACCATAGTCTGAAACTTCGGCAGTGGCACTCTGAAATTATGGTGTTTTGTGAGCTCAGTGCCTATGTTTTCATTTTATTCATCCCTATCCTGGCATCTGTAGGCACACAAATTCTCACTTGCCAACCCCAAATATACACATACTTAAAAATTAAAAATAAGATTAAAACATACACTCACTTTCACTCCTGATCACACATTTATTACACATAATCAGTCACGTTTGTCTGGCCTGTTCTCTCCTTCCACCTTACCATGGGTTCTGGGGGTTGGATTCAGGACACCAGGCTTGCAGAGATGTCACCTTGACTTGCTGAGCCATCCCACCCACCCCATCTTCAATTTTTGAAGGAAATTTTTGCTGGGTATAGAATTCTGAATTGGCAGTTATTTTCAGTGATTCCACTATTTTTGGACTTTATTGCTTCATTTTGTATCTCTCTCTTCTCTCTGGGATCCTGTCTCATCAAACTCTTGTTGTCACTCCCCTGTCCCACCTCTATATCTTCTGGTAGTTATTGGTGAGGGAGTAATTCTGACCATCTAACAACACAGCTACTAAACAAAGTTTAAGGTTTATTTTCCTTCCTTTCTTTCCTCCTTCCCTCCATCCTTCTTCCTGTGGTTCTGGGAATTGAGGCCAGGGCCTCACACACTGAGCATGTACCCTACCACCAAGCTATTACTACCTTGTATGATGACCTGTCCCTCGGGTCAGTCATTCAGGGTTCTGAAGGGGAGCTGCCTGAAAGAGTCATGGGCGAGAGAAGGAAGGAGACCTAGCGCCCTAAAGAGGGGACCAGAGTCCATCTGTGCAATTGTCAAGGTCTTGATTTATTGGGGCTCAGAGTGAGCTTATATAGCCCTGCAACAAGGAAATTAGGCAAGCGGGGCGGGGGAATAGCAGGAAGGAACGTCTGGTATTTGCTGGGACGCTGGGACTGGGACATTCTTGCGGTATCTTTGAAACAGCAGGCAGAAAGGCCCATGCCTTTTCTCGGAATGCAGTTAGCAGTCCCGCTTCACCAAACTTATCTAATTATGGGTCACATGAGGCTCACAGGGTTGTCTTTAAGCCGCAAACTTTAAAGGTCATAAAAAGCTTACAAAAAGTGGGCTTTAACCCCCATAGTTTAGGGCCCATGGCTCTTAACAGTCTGAGACAGTTATGTGCTGTTTTTTACGTTTTTGTTTTTGTTTTTGTTTTTTGTTTTTTGTTTTTTTTTTAAGACACTGCCCTTTTAAAAGTTTAAATTAAAAGACTGGAAATTTCAAAACAAAAAATTGAAAGTTTGAAAAGCTGAGTTAAATGACAAAATTTAGTGTAAACAGAAATAAAATGGACACAGTGAAGATGAGAAACAGTTGTAGGTAAATAATTAAAGGAGAAACTGACATAAAAATCCTAAACCTTATAAAAAATTGTATGAAAAATTGAGACTTTTAACTACAGAGTCAATTTTGCCGTTTATATTTTTCAGTTTTTGATGTTTTTGAGACAGTGTCTTATGCAGTTCTGGCTGGCCTGGAATTCAGAATGTAGTTCAGGCTGGCCTCTAGTCATGATCATCATGCTTCAATCTCACAAGTTCCAGGATTATACTCAGAGTGCACCAATGCACCCAGATTAGAGGAAAATTTATATATATAACTCAGCTGGCAAATTGCATGAGACTCCACATAACGTCCAGGTATGGTGGTGCACCCTGGTAACCAGAGCTGCAGAGGCAGACACAAGTAGATACCTGGGGCTCACTGGCCAGCCAGTCAGCCCAAATTGGTGAGCTCCAGGTCAGTAAGTGAAACTTGTCTGTGTGTGGTGGGGGAGGGGTAGAGAGAAGGGGGACTCTCACATGTAAAAGTCAGAGTGTAACTTTGTGGGGTCAGTGTTATCCTTCCAAATTCAGGGATCGAACTCAGGTCACCATATACTTCCTGAGCTGTCTTAGCAGTCCTAAAAGATTTCTGAACATAGGACGCTGTCACTTGCCACTGGATTTTTACTAATGAAAGACTAAGATGGTCATTTGCTATCACTTGGCAAGTGCTCTTGGCATCTCCAGAATACTTTATTAATTTATAGATTGAAAGGATCCAGAATCGATCTCTCTGGAGGAAGTACCAGGCAAGCAAAAAAGTTATGGATGAAAAGAATGGCCATGGAAAAAATGAGAGCCAGCTCTTCCATGGGACAGAGGCTAGGTGTATCCCACACGTCAACAGCAACGGGTTTAACCGCAGCTACGCTGGGAAGAACGGTAAGGAAGCATGCAATCAGTTGCCCCAAATGGGGTTCTGACTGGTAGAGCTTACCCTGGGGTCTGTTCATTGTGTTCCTCACACCATGGTAGCCAGACATTAGACAGTAATATGTTTCAATTCTCCCCCCAAGGGCTTGACTGACCCTTTGAGGAGGAAAATTAATAATGATGATGATGATAAAGAATCCTTACAAAATATTCCCACTGAGCATTCCTTTTATATTAGCTGACATATTGGGCTAACATGTTGATTTATATGCTACACTGAATTACTTTAAAATGTCTTTGTCTTTGCAGCTACGTGCTATGGGAAGGGAACCTATTTTGCTGTCAAGGCTTCCTATTCTGCCAGTGACACATACTCCAAACCAGATGCCAATGGGAAAAAGCACATGTACTATGCACGGGTTCTCACTGGGAACTACACAAAGGGAAACTCATCATTGATTGTGCCTCCTTCAAGGGACCCTCAAAATCCTACTGACTTGTATGACACTGTCGTAGATAATGATCAAAATCCAAGTATATTTGTAGTGTTTTATGACAATCAAGCATACCCAGAGTATCTTATCACGTTTAGGTGTGATACTTCAGAGTAATTTCCAAGATAAAATCGAGTTCATGTATCTGCTGTAAGACAAATTTTAGCTGTTTTCCTCCTTAAGCTTTCTGTAAGAGCACAACAAGGTCTTTCATGGACACGCCATGGACATGTTTCCTCAGCTGTTCCTCCATGGTGGAAATGAATTGTCATGAATGCCAATCAACTTGAGAATTTAAATCAGATTAACAGCAGTGGCTGAGATATCTCAAATGTGACAGTAACTCCCTCACAGACTTTCAGGAAGCCACACAATCCCAGCTGCCACCAGTGGAATTACGTCGGAGTGCAACGGTGTCACTGAGCCAGTAACGCTGCTAACTGCCAACTGAACAGATTCCACAGCAGAGAGCCTCTTTCTTCACCAACAGCCTTGCCATGTGGGTTGGACAGCTCCAGCCAGGTCTGTGTACAAACTGGGTGCTGGGATGTGGCTCCTGCTCTGTGTGAACTGAGCCCCAGTGAGGGGCACAGCTCAGAAGCCCTGGCCCCAAGTGCTCAACGCCCTTTTTAATGTTAACCCAGTGTTCCTGTGAAATCAATGGTATGACGCCTGTTACATTGCCAGGGGAAGCCCTTCACTGTGTGAGAATGGTGAACTCTAAGGATATCTGCTAGCATCTCTCCTGTGGCAGGTCAGCTTGAGAAGATTTCAAAGCTTTATGTGTAATCCAACAGTCAGATTGCTAACTTACTAACTCAGGGTCTACTGGAAGGGAATTCTTTCTTGTGGTACTGGGGGATGAACTCTGGGCCTCACACATGCCAGACAAGCACTCTATCACTGAGCTACACACCCCAGCCCTCTTTACTTATTTTGATGCAGGCTCCTGTTTAGTTGCCCAAGCTGGCTCTGATATCCCTCTATAGCCCTGGCCGGCCTTGAATCACTCTCTTCCTGCTTTGACTACTTGTCTGTCAGAGGCCTGTGCCACCAGGCTTAGGTTGTTTTAATTTTCTCCTGTAAATTTCAGCCTCAATGCCATTCATTGAGTGCCTAGACTTTGTCAGGTAGAGTGAGAGATGAGCTCACATACATGGTTTTGTTCCCATGAATAGTGCTATGGAAAGAATTTTTCTTTATTTCAAGGCTAGGGGAACAAGTTTAGAGTACAAGAAACATTCTTGCCTGAGGTCACTGAGGGAGGAACTCTCAGAGCCATCCAGCTGAGTCTTGGTGTCAAACCCTTCACTATTCCCACCATAGAACCTGGCCTTGAGATAAGCAAGCGCTGTTTTGGCCATCATTCAGTGACTATCAGTGAGTGGCCATTACTCGCTGTTCATCACATGGTAGTCATTACACAGTGGCCTTCACTCAGTGACCATCACATGGTGTCTGACACATAATATCCATCACTCAGTCGTGAGTATCTCAGGTGATCTGTGAGGCGACCCAGATTTTCCCCGGCTTTTTTTTTAAAAATATTAGATATGGTTTTATTATATTTTTGTAAATCATGAGTACATCATGAACACAGATATATAAAGATTTATATGCATAATTAAATCCACCCTAGTACATAATTTACAGATTTAATAAATGTGGAAAGTAGCACTGTGCTGTCAGTTTCAGTAATCCTGATGCTAAGAAACTAGGATTGATGGTTTTCCTTGTTTATCTTTCCATCCCTGGAGGTTTTTAAATTTTGCCAACAAATGTCAATTATATACCTAATACACTATGATGGTTATTTAGTGTTTTTTTTTCATGAAAATCAAGCACTCAGGTGAAAAAGCATCACAAAATATGCTGCTTAACACCATGTAGATAGGATAGTTTAGGGATGTGGTTAGGTTTTCACAGCCATGCTTAACCTAGTCTATATAAAGTTTGAACATTATCTTTCAAACCTCAAAATGTATTGTGGCATGTGATTACCTGTTTAAAGGAAGATCCTTAACACAGACACACATAGTGTCTCTTCAAATTTAAAACTACTGCAACTATTTCTTCAGTCTGCATTCTTCATCTCTCTCTATAAACCTTTAAAATATACAGCTATAGCTGGAACATACTTGACAGGTTAGCTATTCCCTATGAATATGTGGATGTTTTGTTCTCATTACAATTAACTGTTAGGCAGGTACTGTTTTTATTAGATAGGCTTTTCATTTGCTTTGCTTTTTCAACATTACCTTACCCATAGCTGTAGAACTCCTCCTAGTTTTATTTCCTCTTTACATATTCTCTATGCATAATCCTTCTTCTTTCTACCTGTCTCTTTTGATGACTTATTCATCAGTGCTCCCCACAAGAAACAACCTTATTTGTTAACTCTCTTTAAAGAAGTTCTCTATTTTAGACACATCCTGTATATGATCTCACCTGGAGCTCTGTCATTCAGTCTCTCATCCTCAAAAGGAAAATGACTACCCTGGCCAATATTTCCTTATAGTGTTTCAACTCTGTTAATACTTGAAAACATTCCTCTCCTGACTACTATAAGGTAAGGCCTCATGTTTGTTTTGGACTAACCTGCTAACTTAGTATGTAGCTTAGTCTTTCTGAGGCGTGGTTATTTGTCTGACAGACTCAAATGTCTTACAACCTAAATATTGATGCTGAAGTGATAAAATGGCTTCTATAAAAATAATTGCTACTTTATAGCTTGTGAGAGAATGTTCTCTGAAAACCACTTTTGAATACCTTAAAAATTATGAAGAATCCATTACAGCTCATATAAGAGTGTTTTCCTTTTGTGTGGTTCTCTTCCTGTCAAAAACAACAAAGGAAATTCCTTTGCGATGATTTATGATTAGTTCAGCCTTTCCTCTATGCACTGTGATACACATATTCCAGAAAATGACTTTTGAATAATTGGTAAATTCCATGTTGTGTCAATAAAGGCCTATGCAGGAATCAATTTACTATCTCACCAAATTCTTTTTTCATCACATTATTTGAGACAGGAACTCATGTTTCATAAAACAGCCTGTAACTACCTATGTATCCAAGG